AAAAGTTGGGCTTTTCCTGGATACAGAACTGTTTCGTCTTTTTTTTTTTTTTTTTTTTTTTTTTGAGACGAAGTCTCGCTCTGTCGCCCAGGCTGGAGTGCAGCAGCATGATCTCGGCTCACCGCAACCTCCGTCTCCTGGGTCCAAGCGATTCTCCTGCCTCAGCTTCTCAAGTAGCTGGGATTACAAGCATGCACCACAGCACCCAGCTAATTTTTGTATTTTTAGTACAGATAGGGTTTCACCATGTTGGCCAAGCTGGTCTCAAACTCCTGACCTGAAGTGATCTGCCCACCTAGGCCTCCCAAAGTGCTGCGATTATAGGCATTAGCCACTGCGCCTGGCCTGTTTTGTCTTATAGACATGGTGAACTGTGTAACTGAAAATATTTTTCTCTATACCAGTTCAACAAACATTTTCTCAAAGGGTCAAATAGTAAATATTTTCAGCTTCTTGGCCACAGTCTCTCTCACAACTACTCAACTCTGCTAGAGCACAAAAGCAACAATAGGGAATACTTAACAAGTGTGCATGGTTTTGTTCCAATACTTCATTTATAAAAACAAGCAGCTGACCTAGTTAGCTGACCCTAGCTATGTACCATTTGTTGATTGCTAGCAAGCTCAGAGCCAGGTTTGGGGCTTCCTTTTAAAGTGCAGAATCTTAGGCCGGGCATGGTGGCTCACACCTGTAATCCCAGCACTCTGGGAAGCTGAGGTGGGCAGATCACTTGAGGTCAGGAGTTTGAGATCAGCCTGGCCAACACGGTGAAACCCCATCTCTACTAAAAATACAAAAAAATTAGCTGGGTGTGGTGGTGCTTGCCTGTAGTCTCAGCTACCTGGGAGGCTGAGGCAGCAGAATCACTTGAACCTGGGAGGCAGAGGATACAATGAGCCAAGATCACGCCACTGCACTCCAGTTTGGGCAACAGAGTAAGACTCCACCTCGAAAAAAAAAAAAAAAAGGAAATGAAGTAGAACCTCACAGAATGAATTTTTGTTGTATTATCTGTTTTATTTTTCCTTTGTACTGATCCCCTCAGCTGTTTTTAAATTTAATCTGGTTGTGTTACAAATAAGCTGCCCAAAATACTTTGCATGAAAAGATGGCATATACGTAGCCAGGCCCAGAGGCTCATGCCTATAATCCCAGTAACTCAGGAGGTGGGAGGATGACTTGAGCCCAGGAGGTCAAGACTGCAGTGAGCTATGATCACACCACTGCACTCCAGCCTGGGTGACAGAGTAAGACCCTGTCTCTAAAATAAATAAATAAATAAAAGATGGTGTATATGTAAACTAAAATAGATTTAATTTAGCCTGACAATCTTTAAACATTAAAGAAACTTAGCTACTCTCGGTGGGATGGGTTGTGGTGCCAGGCAAAGACCTCCCTAGCTTCACTTTCCCCAAATTTGGCTTCTCTAGGGGAGGAACATGCATAGACCTAGGTATCTAAGTTCTAGATCAAGTAAACACACCAGTCCTCTATTTTCTTTCTTTTTTTTTTTTTTTTTTTGAGACAGAGTCTGGCTCTGTCACGCAGTGGCCGGATCTCAGCTCACTGCAAGCTCCGCCTCCCTGGTTTACACCATTCTCCTGCCTCAGCCTCCCGAGTAGCTGGGACTACAGACGCCCACCACCTCGCCGGCAGTTAGTTTTTTGTTTTTTTAGTAGAGAGGGGGTTTCACCGTGTTAGCCAGGATGGTCTCGATCTCCTGACCTCGTGATCCACCCGTCTCGGCCTCCCAAAGTGCTGGGATTACAGGCTTGAGCCATCGCGCCTGGCCAGTCCTCTATTTTCAAAAGAAAAGTCAATACTATATTCTTCTCAATGATCATGCCCACAAATTAACAGAAGGCTGGTGGCTGCCTTGGTTGGCAGATTACCCATCTCAGCTGGAAGAACACTTCTCTGACTCAAGGTCGTATCTTCATTTGAAAATTGTGTCTGGGCCAGACATGGTGGCTCACACCTATAACCTCAGCACTTTGGGAGGTTGAAGTAGGCAGATTGCTTTGAGACCAGCCTGGCCAACACGGTGTAACCCCATCTCTACAAACGAAATACAAGAAATTAGCCGGGCGTGATGGCATGTGCCTATAATCCCAGCTACTTAGGAGGCTTAGGTGGGAGGATAGATTAGGCCTGGGAGGTACAGATTGCAGTGAGATTGCGCCACTGCACTCCAGCCTGAATGACAGAGCAAGACTCTGTCGAAAGAAAAAAAAAGAAAGAGAGACAGAGAGAAAGGAAGGACGGAAGGAAAGAGACAGGCAGACAGACCATGTCTGGGATGGAAGGGAGCTTAAGATACTTTGGGGGAGACACCCTGAGGCAATTTCTCTTGTGGTAATAAATGAAAAGCAATAAGTACAATGAGACTTTTCACTTTAAGACCCATAAGACATCACACCAGAAATATAAATATAAATGTTTAGAAATGTAACTTTTGGGCAGGGGCAGTGGCTCACACCTATAATCCCAGCACTTTGGGAGGCCGAGGCAGGAGGATCACTTGAGCCCAGGACTTTGAGACCAGCCTATGCAACATGGTGAGACCTCCTCTTCACAAATAATTTAAAAACTAGCCGGGAGTGGTGGCATGCGCCTGTGGTCCCAGGTACTCAGGAAGCTGAGGTGGGAGATCACTTGAACTTGGGTGGTCGAGGCTGCAGTGAGGCACGATCACGCCACAGTACTCTGGCTTGGGCAACACAGCAAGATGCTGTCTCAAAAAAAAAAAAAAGTAACTTCTGGATTTTGTGGTGCAGCAGAAAGAACCCTGGACTGGGAGTCAGATAAACTAAGTTTTAGTTCTGACACCGCCACTGTTCCTTAAACTTGAAAATAGATAAAATACTAAGACTTTATGTTTCATTTGCGTATGAAAAATAGGTGATAATTAGAGCTGCCATTTACTGAAAGTCACCATCTACCCTGTGCCAGAAGCTTTACCTGCAAGTTAGATGGGATTTTATAAAATGAAAAATGAAACTCAGAGACTAAGGAATTTGCTCACATACCTTGTAAGTGACAAGGCTAGGAGGAGAATCTGAGTCTGTCTACCCTAAAGACCATCACCTCTCTCCATTACCCCAAATGGCTTCTCTAGCCCTGTATCTTGCAGAGTTTTATTATAGCCTACAGAACCTCTCTGTAAGTAGCAAAAACATAGGATACACAATACATTTTCAGCCTAGGCAAACGAATATAATCTTAACGTCTAAAATACTGCTAATGCATTCATCCACTTGGTATTGTTACCTGGGTCACTCAAGGATGCCAAGTCTTATGAGATCCTTCCCAGTACCTTGTAAGGACACTGGAAGTGTTTAAAGGCTGAACAATCAGCTTTCAGGAATGGAATTGAGAAGCTTAAAAGGCTGACCAATTGACTTTTTTCAAACCTAGGATTTATTATCTGGCTTAGTCCCCCAATCTTGCCAGATTTGCTTTTTTTTTCCCCCCTAATTACTCTTTGGAAAATAATGTTCCCACTTACCTCAACCATTCTGTTTTCAAGACCTGCCCCATCCCTATCCTGATTTGAGGAAGATGGAAGAATGGGGAAAGGGATAAACAAGCCTCTCCATGGACTCTGGAAAATAATTTATGGTACTGTTCTAGATAGACAGGCTGGTTTTGGCAAAGTCATTTTGATCTGTCCCTAGTGAGAGTGACAGAGGACTAGACATGGACTTGAGAGGTGACAGGCCTGGAGATTAAACATTCTGCTGTCTCCACTATAAACTCTCTCCATCTACTTTTTTTTTTTTTTTTTTTTTTGAGACGGAGTCTCGCTCTGTCGCCCAGGCTGGAGTGCAGTGGCCGGATCTCAGCTCACTGCAAGCTCGGCCTCCCGGGTTTACGCCATTCTCCTGCCTCAGCCTCCCGAGTAGCTGGGAATACAGGCGCCCGCCACCTCGCCCGGCTACTTTTTTGTATTTTTTAGTAGAGACGGGGTTTCACCGTATCAGCCAGGATGATCTCGATCTCCTAACCTGGTGATCCGCCCATCTCGGCCTCCCAAAGTGCTGGGATTACAGGGTTGAGTCACCGCGCCCGGCCTCTCCATCTACTTTTAAAATGTGCAGTTAATCTCCAGAATGTCAGACCTGGAAAGGTCAATGTGGACTGTCCAGTCAAAATCATTCACAGGAAATAGAGGCCCAGGATGGTCAGCCATTTGCCCAAAGTCAAACAGAGAGAGCCAGGGGTAGGCCTAGAAAGCAGCTCTTTTCACGCTGACACGCAAACTCTCTATTACTCCCGCACAGAGGCCCAGCTCCTTACAACTCAATTCTAACAACTCTCAGAAGATGGGAATCACTACGGCCCCATTTCACAGATGAAGAAACCAAAACCCACAGAGTTTCAATGTCTCGCCCAAAGCCACAGAGGGTCGGGGTCAGTGCTGGGCAGAGGAATATGTTCCCTTGCCGCCCGTCCCGGGGCCTCACCCTCGAGAAGGCGGCAACGCTGGTGAAAGATATAGCAGGCCTGCTCTTTGTGCAGCGGATGCTCGTGAAGAGGGGGCGAGCGGTAGAACCTTGGGTCCCTGTAGCGCGGCTCCCAGGGCGGAAAGATGGGCCGCGCCAGCCAGGGCACGAAGTGCATCTTCCCTGCATAGGTGATGGGCTCCAGTCCAGGGATCTCGTACACCCTATCCAGGAGAGGAGGCTCCGGCTTCCGCGTGGAGCGCACGCCCCACTCATACGCCCCGCGTCTCGGGGCCCCGAAGCCCCCAAGGCCGAGCTGTCCGGAGCCAGCCAGCGCCCGCCTTGCGGGCCCGGACGCCAACGCCATAACGATCTGTTCGCCTCAAGACCACCACCTGGACGACACCATCTTGCGCGCGCAGGGCCTGCTGGGAACGAAAGGGGCTGGGCGCCAAAGCTCGTTTTGGGAATGGCGGCCAATTCAACCAATCACAGTCAGGATATTCTTGTCTTGCACCTGCCCCCAGCCCGTTCTCATTTTTTTATAGGTGATACCTGCTAAGCGCGCCCCGCCTACCCGGAGACAGGGAGGAACCTGGAAAATCTCACGTGAGGGGAAGCGCGAGCGAGTAGGTGAGTGGTCGTGGTGGGTCCAGAATCGCTCCAGGACTTCAAACCTGGACTTAGACAAGGTTAATCGCTTATGAGCAGCTGGAGCTTGGCAAGGCACTTCCCTCTCTGAGTCCCAGTGTCCCTCGCTGTAAAAATAGGGATAGAAATGCCTAAGCTGGCGCACCTGTACAGCGCGCTGCTGCGAGCGCCTCTGCCGCGCTGCCCTTCTCCTGAGCGTGACTGCACACTGCACACCTCTTCCCCAGCCCCAAAAGCGAGCCACTTTCCTGGCTTTTCCTTTCCCTCTGGATTTCCCAGTTCGCCTCCTAGAAGCAAGGACAAAGCAATGAAGATACGCTTTTGCTCCTTGCTTAACACCTGTCTATCAGCTGCCTGCTGTGTGTCAGGCGCTGTGCTTAGCCCCGGTTGGCATTGGTAAATAAGACAGATGGGAGATGTAGAGCTTACAGTTTAGTGGGAGATGCAGACAGAACGCAGGTAAACAACGCAAACAAGTCAACTGCGATACACACACTCCCTATGCCTTTTCCGTAGTTATTTTTCTCGTTAGCATTTCACACTATCGTACCATCTGTTTTCCATCTTGATCTTGCTTAATAACTTTCTCACCCTAAGATATGAGCTCCGTGAGTGCAAGGGTTTCTGTTTCTTCACTGCTATATCCCCAGCACTGAGAACAGTGCCTGGCAGATAGTAAATGTGTTTAGTGAATGTGCGTATGGTAGAAACAAATAGAGTGCCTTATAGAGAATGAGGAGGGGAAGATTCAGGGAGGGCCTCTGAAGGGAGGTGACCTTTAAAACCAAGGCCTGAGGGGTGGGAAAAGTCATCCAGCCTGAGGCAACGTGTGTCAAGGCCTGGATTAAAGGTGGTGCCTCTTGAACTGAAAAGATAGACGCTCAGAGGACGCATGAACCAGCTCTTTAAAATTCCTGACTGATGTGGCCAACTTTTCTGCTAATTTTCAAAATAGCAGAGCAGGTGAGACTGTTAAAACGTGGAGAAGGCCAAGAGTTATCCTTCACACCTGTAATCCGAACGTTTTGGGATACCTAGGTGGGATGGGCCACTTGAGCCCAGGAGTTTGAGATCAGCCTGGGCAACATGGTGAGACCTCCTCTCTACAAATAATAAAAAAATTAGGCATGGTGGCATGTACCTATAGATCTAGGTACTCAGGAGGCTGAGATGGGAGGATCACTTGGGCCTGGGAGATCAAGTCTGCAGTGAGCTGTGATCCTGCCACTGCACTCCAACCTGGGCAACACAGCAAGACCCTGTCTCAAAAAAAAAAAAAAAATCAGCATAAAGAGGGGATCAGACCTCATCCACTCATAATGCATACCTGGTCCATAGCATGCAATAAAAATGAATTGGGTTGATGTAACACCATGTACGTGTAGTCTGTGAGGCTCTGTGAAGGTAGGAACAATGACCTGTTTACCTCTGTTGCTTCCCAACACCTAGCGCTAATCTTGGCTCCCAGACTGTATTTGTAAACTACAGGGAACCTTCCATATGCCAGGCTGTGCTTGGTGGTAGAATACAGAAAGAATAAGACACCATCCTTTTTTTTTTTTTTTTTTTTTGAAACAGAGTCTTGCTTTGTCGCCCAGGCTGGAGTGAAGTGGTGCAATCTCAGCTCACTGCAGCCTCCACCTCCCAGGTTCCAGTGATCCTCCTGCTTCAGCCTCCTGGGTAGCTGGGATTACAGGCATGCACCACCAGGCCCAGCTAATTTTTGTGTTTTTTTTGTTTTGTTTTGTTTTTTTGAGACGGAGTCTCGCTCTGTTGCCTAGCCTGGAGTGCAATGGCCGGATCTCAGCTCACTGCAAGCTCTGCCTCCTGGGTTTACGCCATTCTCCTGGCTCAGCCTCCCGAGTAGCTGGGACTACAGGCGCTCGCCACCTCGCCCGGCTAGTTTTTTGTATTTTTTAGTAGAGATGGGGTTTCACCAGGTTAGCCAGGATGGTCTTGATCTCCTGACCTCGTGATCCGCCCGTCTCGGCCTCCCAAAGTACTGGGATTACAGGCTTGAGCCACCGCACCCGGCCAATTTTTGTATTTTAGTAGAGATGGGGTTTCACCATGTTGGCCAGGCTGGTCTCGAACCCCTGACCTCAGGTGATCCGCCTGCCTTGGCCTCCCAAAGTGCTAGAATTATAGGCATGAGCCACCGCGCCCAGCCTAAGATACCATCCTTGACCTCAAGGGGGTCCCAGCCTGCTAAACCTTCCTGAAGTCATAAAGCTCATGAGCAGTAGTAAGTTTCCTGAAGCCAAACTCTTTATTCTGTTAAAGAAAGATTCATTGAACACTGCCCTTCTAAAACCAGCAATAGTAAGTGGTAAGATAATTTGGGTAAGGTCTGATCAGGAAGAGCTTTGGACACCAGGCAAGGAGATCGGATTCTATTCAGTAGTCAACAGGAGCTGTTAAAGGTTGCTAAGCAGGGGACTGGTGGCAGATGCGCTGATGGCTGATGTTAGGGAGAGACTGGAATTACATTCTGTGGGACCACCAGAAGCTCCAGTATAAATGGGGGTGGGAAGCAGAAAAAGATCTTACAGGTATGGACTCCTGGGAAGTGACTGGGAACCCAGAAATGAGACTTCCCTGCCTTCTGGCAGACTTGGTGGTCTCCTTCTCTGCCCGCTCACAGACTTGGCCACACTTGATCCTAGCACTTTATGCCTGAGTGAAATTAGTGCCATTTGGAGGCCCCAGAGTGCCCATATAATTTGAAGACAGTTTGGTAATAGGATCCTTGCTCTGTGCCAGCCCAGTGCAGGTGCTAGGAATTGGAGATGAAAGTACCCTTTCCTTGCGCTTTGGAAGCCTAGGGAGAAAGAGCACCAGTCTGGAGGCCAAAGAGACCCAGGCGTGCAAACTGGCCTTCATACTTTTGGCTTCCTGACCTGGGCCTCAGTTTTCTCCTCTATACAATGAGGAGGAGCATGGCCTACCTACATATGGCTGTTGGGAGGATTGAGTGAGGCATGCAGAGCACTTGGCATAGACTCTGGCCCAGTAAGTGGCATCTTTTATAATGGTTATCATCTGTTTAGTGAATGACTCTCCCATCAGGGCAGGATGAGTGTTTCTCACCTCTGTATCCTGGAGCACCTCATGCCGCAGCCCCTGCCTAGTATGTGTTTGTGGCAGGAACGAATGAAAAATCAAATGCTGGGAGCTCTCAGAGGTAGCTGGCGTTTTAGAGGCATGATGTTTACATCAAATAATGCTCTGTAGCATCAGACTTCTTCTCAGCTCTGCTCTTAGTACTGAGAGGAAGGAACACTCTCTTTTTTTTTTTGAGATGGAGTTTTGCTCCTGTTGCCCAGGTTGAAGTGCAGTGGTACAATCTCAGCTCACTGCTACCTCCGCCTCCTGGCTTCAAGCGATTCTTCCGCCTCAGCCTCCTGAGTAGCTGGGACTACAGGTGCGTGCTGCCATGGCTGACTAATTTTTTGTATTTTTAGTAGAGATGGGGTTTCATCCTGTTGGCCAGGCTGGTCTTAAACTCCTGGCCTCAGGTGATCCGTCCGCCTTCGCCTTCCAAAGTGCAGGGATTATAGGTGTGAGCCACACGCCCAGCCAAGGCGAACACTCTCTTTTACTTTGATTTGCCTGTGTAATTTTACCTTACTGTTTTAGAGACAGGGTGTTGCTATGTTGCCTAGACTGGACTTGAACTCCTAGCCTCAAGCAATTCTCCTGCCTTGGCCTGTGAAAGTGCTGGGATTACAGGTCTGAGCCACCGTGTCCAGCCTGCTTGTGGAATTTTAAATGAATAGTTAGCTTGCAGGTGAGATTTCCGTAAAAACTGTGGAGTCTACATGTAAGTGTGGAGAACCCTGATGAATCCCAAACTGCCCTCACAGAAACATTTCAAAGTAATTCAGACTGTGCACGGTGGCTCACGCTGTAATGCCAGCACTTTGAGAGGCCGAGGCGGGAGGATTGCTTTAGCCCAGGGGTTTGAGACCAGCCTGAGCAACACAGTGAGACCCCATCTCTACAAAAAATAAATTAGTTGGCGGTGGTGGCACATACCTATAGTCCCAGCTACTCTAGACTGAGGCAGGAGGATCACTTGAGCCCAGGAGGTTGAGGCTGCCGTGAGCCATGATCATGCCATTGCACTCCAGCCTGGGCGACAAGAGTGAGACCCTATCTCCAAATAAATAAACAAATAATTCATAGCCAAATCACCTCACTGATTTGTCTTTCAGACTATGTTTAACCAATAGCCCTGAAATTGGGTTCCTTTATTCCTTCCCTTCTTTCATATTATGCACATTTAAGAATAGCCACTGTGGCTGGGCACAGTGGCTCATGCCTATAATCCCAACACTTTGGGAGGCTGAGGCAGTCAGATCACTTGAGGCCAGGAGTTTGAGACCAGCCTGGCCAACATGGCAAAACCCCATCTCTACAAAAAAATGCAAAACTTAGCTGGGCGTGGTGATGCATACCTGTAATCCCAGCTACTCGGGAGGCTGAGGCAGGAGAATCGCTTGAACCCAGGAGGCGGAGGTTGCAGTGAGCCAAGATTGTGCCACTGCACTCTAGTCTGGGTATTGGAGCAAGGTCTGTCTCAGAAGAAGAAAAAAAAAAAAAAATTAGCCACTGTGCCGTTTCATGAATAAATGAAAAGCAGGACTCTGCCCTCAAGTAGAACTGTTTCAAAGAAGAGAGACACATAAACATGTAACAGTTTGAATGCTGTAAGGTAGAGAGAGACTCATTCATTTGAAAAGTGTTTATTGGCTGGGTGTGATGGCTCACGCTTGTAATCCCAACACTTGGGAGGCCAAGGTGGGCAGATCACCTGATGTCAAGAGTTCAAGACCAGTCTGGGCAACATGGTGAAACCCTGTCTCTACTCAAAATACAAAACCTAGCCAGGCATTGTGTTGGGCACCTGTTGTCCCAGTTACTTGGGAGACTGAGGCAGGAGAATCGCTTGAGCCCAGGAGGCAGAGGTTGCAGTGAGTCGAGATCATGCTGCTATACTCCAACCTGGCAACCTAGGCAACAGAGTGAGATTCTGTCTCAGAAAAAAAAAAAAAAAAAAAAGGAAAGAAAGAAAGAAAAGTGTTTATTGAGCTCCTTTTATGAGCAGGGATGGACCAAGTGCATGGAGTGCTCACAGGAGAGAGCGAAGCCAGGCAGGCCTTCAACTGCACCTGTTTTTCTCTCTTCACTGTCCATCCATCTCCAGACTCATATCTAGACCTGTTTAATCCAACTCACCACTGGATTTTGCATTTGGATCCTCCACAGGCACTCAGCATACCTCAAACTAAATTCTCTTCTACTTTCCCTTAAAACTCAACTTCTTCTTGAGCCTTCTGTCTACCCAAAATCCAAGCCAGATCCAAGGGGTTGGATGTCCCTTCTACCCCACTATCCCCCCACACTCCCTCACATCTATTCAGTGTCAGTGTCCTATTAATTTCCTCTTCAGTATTTCTCTCATTGACCCCTGCCTTCTCATCCTGCCTGAAGCTGCACGTCTAAATCCTCATCTCATCACACCTGGACCATCACAACCTTCTGTTTCCTGCGATTAAAGAACGATACGTTTTGAAACCAGACATGCCAGAGTTAAAACCCTGGTTGCCACCATTTTAGAAGCTGTATGAAACTCTGGGCAAAGCTGAACTATAGTGGTTAGGATTGCAAACAAAGGTGGCAAAACTAGGGGAAAAAGGAAATAATTATCACAAAAGTCAGATTATGGTAACCTAGGGGAAGTGCAGTTATCAGGAAGGGACACAGGTGGCTTCTGGAATACTGGCAAGGTTCTTTTTACTTGACTGAGCAGTAATTACATAGGTGTTCTTTTATATTTTTAATTAATTTTTTATAATTGAGTTGTAGGTATATATTTTACTTTATCATTTAAAACATTTTAAGGCCAGACATGGTGGCTCATTCCTGTAATCCCAGCACTTTGGGAGACTGAGATGAGAAGCTCACTTGAGGCCAGGAGTTTGAGACCAGACTGGCAACATAGTGAGACCCTGTCTCTACAAAAAGTAAGAAAAAAAAAATTAGCCAGGTATGGTGGCGCACACCTGTAGTCCCAGCTACTCAGGAGACTGAGGCAGGAGGATTGCTTGAGCCCAGGAGGTTGAGGCTGCAGTGAGCTATGATCGTGCCGCTGCTCTCCAGCCTGGGCAACAGAGTGAGACCTCATCTCAGAAAAACAAAACAAAACAAAACAAAAATATCTTTTAAAATTCAATGAGACTTTTCTATGTAAAGTGTCAACTGGCACTCAGAGCACAGGAACAGATCAGGAAACCTTGGTTAGCAGCTCTGATTGTTGTGTCCTTTCTTCCGTATGCCAAGCTATGCTTGGTGGTAAAATACAAAAAGAATAAGACACCGTTCTGTGCTCAAGGGGGTCCCATCCTGCTAAACCTTCCTGAAGTCGCAGAGCTCATGAGTAGTAGAACCAGGTTTCCTGAAGCCAAACCCTTTCCTCTAGTAAAGAAAGATTCATTTCACACAAGGGATTGCCCTTCTAAAACCAATGATAGTAAATGATTAATGCTCCCTACCAGACAGCAGACCCCTTGGCTGATCCATCTCCATCCCCAGCGCTTGCACAGAGGCTGGCACCTGCAGACTTTGGAGAATGTGAGGCATAGAGGAGACCAGAGAATAACCCCTGTGTTTTCCCTCTCCCAGGCTGGCCAAGGAGCAGGGCCTTGGCCCATGGTCTCATAGAGCCTGAACTGTTCTGGAAGAGCACCCAGTTGTTCCTTCTAGGCTACCCAAGCCCCATTGATGATGGGTGAGAGGGAGGAGGACGACGACACTGAGGAAGCCTGGCTGCAGCTGCGGCCCATGGAACCCCTGCCCTCCCAGTGCTGTGGCAGTGGCTGCTCACCCTGTGTGTTTGACCTCTATCACCGAGACCTGGCAAGGTGGGAGGCAGCCCGAGCCAGCAAGGACAGGAGCCTGCTGCGTGGGCCAGAGTCACAGGTGAGGGAGGCTGCTTCTCGATATGAGCACCAGGGCGGCAGAATCTACTAGCCTTGGCCCTGCAAAGCACACCTCTAGGAAGCCTTCCCTGACTGTACAGCAGAAGAAAAGAGTACACATAACAGAAGCAAACAGATCCAGGCTCAAGGCCCAGCCCTGAAGCAAACTTATTAGCAGCTGTGTGGTTTGAGGCAAAGTCCCTTAGTCAACCTAAGCCTTAGTTTCCTCATCTGTAAATTGAGGCTAAATGTTTGTGATGTGTAGCACAGAGCTTGACATCCATTTCACTTAACTATGTTTATTGAGTACCTATTATATACCAGGCCCTGTGAGACAGAGAGGATTTGAGAGTGAGCGTGACAGACACAGTCCTTGTCCTTATGGACTAAACTAGCCATAGTTTATTCTAGGTAAATAATGGATGTTAGGGCTGATATTTTTTCTTCTCTGGCCCTTACTGACTTTTTCCTCCTTAACTCCTGCAGGACTTCATAGTCTGGACTAAGCAGATTAGCCCTTTATTGTAATGTTTAGGAGGGTTCACAGTTATAAATGTCAGAACACCGGACTTCATCCCCTGTATTACACAGATAGGGAAACTGAGGACCCATTCCTTCTGGCACTGTGCATAGGTTTTGTTTTGCATCTGTCCCTGTCTTGGTCTCCCGCATCTGAACAGTCTTCCCATTTTCTGTGTCCCTCCTGACTAATGTGGAGTAGAGGTGTCTCCCATTTCTACCTCTCTCAATGCCATCTGGCATCATCATCACTTTTTTTTTTCCTTTTTTGTAGAGATGGAATCTCGCTATGTTGCCAGGGCTGGTCTCAAATTCTTGGTCTCAAGTGATCTTCCCACGTCAGCCTCCCAAAGTGATGGGATTACAGGCGTGAGCCACTTTGCCTAGCCATCATCACTTTTTGACCAACCATTCCTCATTCTTGGGGCTCCAACTAGACCAAAACTTAGTCATTTTTACACACGTTGTTCTTAAGCTATTATAGATCAGATATTCTGAACAAATGCAGTTGTTTTTCTTTTCTTTTTTTTCTTTCTTTTTTTTTTTTTTTTGAGATGGAGTTTTGCTCTTGTTGCCCAGGCTGGAGTGCAGTGGCGTGATCTTGGTTCACTGCAACCTCCGCCTCCCAGGTTCAAGCAATTCTCATGTCTCAGCCTCCCAAGTAGCTGGGATTACAGGCGTGTGCCACCACACCTGACTAATTTTATATTTTTAGTAGAGATGGGGTTTCACCATGTTGGCCAGGCTGGTCTCGAATTCCTGACCTTAGGTGATCCACCTGCCTCGGTCTCCCAAAGTGCTGGGATTAGAGGCGTGAGCCACCATGCCTGGCCTTGCAGTTGTTTCTCTGAACCCCAAAACAACATGACATTATTATTATTATTATTATTATTGTTATTATTGCAGAGTCTCACTCCGTCACCCAGGCTGGAGTGCAGTGGCATTATCTCAGCTCACTGAAACCTCTGCCTCCCAAGTTCAAGCAATTCTCCTGCCTCAGCCTCCTGAGTACCTGGGATTACAGGCACCTACCACCATGCCCGGCTAATTTTTTTTTTTGCATTTTTAGTAGAGTTGGGGTTTTACCATGTTGCTCTCGAACTCCTGACCTCAACTGATCTGCCTGCCTCAGCCTCTCAAAGTAGTGGGATTACAGGTGTGAGCCACTGTACCTGGCCGTATTTTTGCTTTTTATGAAGATAGAGACGGGGTCTTGCAATATTGCCCAGGCTGGGCTCAAACCCCTGGGCTTACGCGAACCTCCCATCTTGGCCTCCCAAAGTGCTTGCTGGGATTACAGGCATGAATAACTTTATATTTAATGTCTCCTTGTATTTCTGCCACTGGAAGGTGGTGATGGGGACTAGAGTGCTCTGGCTTCTGCTAGTGACTGGGGAATGTTTGTGACAACCTCTGTGTTTTCTTTCTTCTCACTGCCCTCCATCTCCACGTGGCTCACCCCTTCACTTCTTTCTGATCTCTGCCCAAATTTCATTTATCTTCCTAACTCAGGACTACCAGACACCATCTAGATGTATTCTTTTATGTGTATATTGTCCATCTTCTTGCTAAAATATCAGTTCTGGCAGAGAAGGGGCCTCTGTCTTTCTCACTGTTCTATCCTCGGCACCAGTTCCTGGCATTACAGTCGGCACTCATTAAATATTTGTTTTATGAATGAATGTGTTTCTCCCAGATCTACTAAGTACCATATCCTGTGTGCTAGGCACAAGGAGATTGGTAATAAAGATGCCAGGGTACCAGTGCTGAAAAAACTCAGCTTACAGAAGGGGAACAAAGAATCACAGGGTTACTTGGCTGGTCACGGTGGCTTACGCCTGTAATCCCAGCACTTTGGGAGGCCGAGGTGGGTGGATCACCTGAGGTCAGGAGTTCAAGACCAGCCTGGCCAACATGGTGAAACTCCATCTCTACTAAAAGTATAAAACTTAGCTGGATGTGGTGGCACACGTCTGTAATCCCAGCTACCCGAGAGGCTGAGATACGAGAATCACTTGAATCTGGTAGGCAGAGGTTGTAGTGAGCCGAGATCTCACCACTGCACTCCAGCCTAGGCAACAGAGCGAGACTCTGTCTCAAAAAAAAAAAAAAAAAAAAAATTGCAAACAGATGGAAGCAAACAAACACAAACATTTTGTCAGTCCTATAAAATAGCATATTCCAATTTGTAATTTTGTTTTTTAACTTTTAATGAAGCAATAATAATAGGAAAAGATTTTACATTTCCATGGTAACTTATATTTTATAAAATGCTTTTTACATTGTATCTCATCTGACCCTCATGATAACCCTATAAAGTTATCAGGGATGAGTGGCCCTTTTTATAGACTAGGAAACTGAAACCCAGAGGATCAGTTGATATGCTGAAGACTCCACAGGGAGGCAGTAGCTGAGCTGGGGCTAAACCCAGTTCTCCCAACTCCCAGTCCAGTGTTCCTTCCAAAGCACCAGGCAGCCGTGCCGGAGGGTACCCAGGTGCTCTGGCTGATGATGAAGAGGTCATCCTGGATGGGGGGTGTGGGAAGGGCCACAGTGGAGACAAGGCCTCGAATGCCAAGCCCGAGAATTTCTGTCGATTCAGTGATATTGTCAGCACTACCATGGGTAACTGGGGTTCCAGAGTTGGTGCTGCGGGAACACGTGGTGCCAGGCCCTAAGCTGGGATTGAGGGGTCCCAAGAGTAAATGGAGTATTTTACAGGAGAGAAAGGTCTGTGAGTCACAGCATTCAGAGAAGGCTTCCTGGAGGAGATGCAGGTTGGGGTGGAATGTTAAAGGCAGTGGGCTGAGACTTCCACATGAATTTGAATCTTTGTCTACAATGTGACTGTAGACAAGTAAGCCAGCATGACTCAACTCAGGCCTCAGTTTCCACATATGTAACATACAGATATTGGGTTAGATATTCTGAGGTCCCATCAACTTATAAATTATGCAAATCTGGATTTTAGCAGGTTTGAAGAATGGGTATGTCTTTTACACATTGGAGATGAATGTTCTGGATAAGAGGGCACTGCTTGAGCTAATAAAGACTCAGAAGTGGGAGGCAGCAGGGTGTTCCTGGGAGGATGAAGAAAAGTGTGGCACCAGATGCCTGGGAGATAAAATGGGGTGTGAGGGTCATCCACAGGGCCCTTGAGTGTCCAGGTAAGGAAGGAGCCCGCACTTTACCCTGGAGCTGAGGGGAGCCATGGAATGCTTAAGAGCAGGATAGGCTCAAAGGAAAGCGCTCTGGCATTCTTGGATCTGATTTTCAAAGGGGAGTAAGGTGAGGCTAGTGTCCAGTTTACAGGAAACTTCCCGAGCCAAGACAGCCTCTCCTTGGGGACAGTGGGAAGGATGCTATGGATGCCTGTGTGTCTGTGGAGCCCCGACCTCTAGCTGTTGGATCTCTTCCTGTTGCAGAGCTGCCCCTCCAAGCTGAACCCAGAGACCTTCGTGGCCTTCTGCATCAGTGCCGTGGACAGACTCACTAAGGACACATACCGTGTCCGGTTTGCTCTACCCGGGAACAGCCAGCTTGGCCTGCAGCCTGGCCAGCACCTCATCCTACGGTACACTCAGGTAGCGGGAGGACCAAAGCTTCACAGCCCTGCTTTGCTATTTGCTAGCTGCTGGCCTTGAGCAACTAGCGTACTCTCCCTTAAGCCTCCATTTGTCATCTTCAAGATAGATGCAGTGACACATGACTTAGAGGGTTCTTGGGATTGAACTAGATAATGCATTTTCATAATAAATAATAACAACACAATCACTTTAATAGCACTTACTATCCAAGGCACAGTTCTGTGTGCTTATAGGCGTGAAATAATTTAACCCTCACAAAATCCTGTGTGGTAGGTGCAGTTATTTCCCAGAGGAAATTGAAGTAAGAGAGGTCCAGAAACTTGCCAAGGTCACACAGTTAGGAAATGTTGGAGCCAGGATTTGAAGGCAAGCAGTCTGGCTTTAGAGCTTGTGGTATGAACCTAATATGATTAGTACCAATTGATAGAATTGAGAATAAAGGGCTTGCCCAGCACCACATAGCTAATAAGTCACAGAGCCAGGATTTAAACCCAGACAACCTGGCTCCTGAGTTACGCTCTTTACCACTCCTCTGAGGTTCCTACTTCCTCCCAGTCTACTTAGGCACTCTACTCCCACCCCAGTCCCCACCCCTGCCTGCCCAGAGACAAGACCCTTTGGAATGTCCGGGTAGAGTTGTCTGTTAGGCTGTTGGCTCTGTGAATCTGAGGCTTAATAGAGAGATCTGAGCTGTAGGCATGGGTTTGGGAGTCATTGGCACATACCTGAGTGGTATTTGGAAACGTGTGCATGGAAAGAGAAAGGCGCATAGTACCAAACCCTGGAAACACCAGCATCTATGGCATTGGCAAGAGGGGGAGGAGCCAGCAAAGGAAACAAGGTGCGGCCAGAGGAGAAGGTGGAAGCCAGAAGAGCACTTACTGCTGCTCAGACTCTGGCCACTTGCTTCACAATGGTCCCTGGTATTTGTGTCCAGCTCCTTCTGGCCTGTGGCCTGTGGCCTGGCCAGCAGTCCTAGAAGTTCACTATCCCAGTGGGCAGGAGGGGCCACAGGGCAGGTCACAGTCCCAGGCATCCTTCCATCCATGAACCAGAATGCCCAGAATTCCCTGCCTCCAGGCTAGCTCCCCTCCTTCACCCACTCTGTCCCTCCAGTGACATCCCTAACACACATATTTGACCATGTGACTCTGGAGTGCAGCATGGAGGCAATGTGGCACCCCAGAAGGTATCTGAGGTACACATTGCCTCCATGATGATGTCCTAACCCAAGGCCCCAGCTTGCTTTCCCACCATGTTCTTCTCCCTTTGCCATCCCACCCCTGCCCTGGTCTCAGCCTCCTGCTCCACACCCGATTCCCGCCACCCTTCCTGTCCCAATTTGCCCTTGTCAGTGGCTGGCCTATCCTGCAGTGCCCACCTCCAGGAGGTTTCCTAGGCTCCCAGAGGAGACTGCACACTCCCTCTGAAATGTATCAGTTTTACCTCTGTTGCAGCAGACGTCATAGTGCTCTGCAGCCAAGCCATGCTCTATGCTCTGTTCCTTATGTCCCCATTTGTTTAATATGCATTTATTAAGTATTTCTGTCCAGCCCCTCATGCTTTTGGTGCATTGAGACAGGGCCTTTTTAATCTTTGCATACCTCAGAGAAGAAAGTTTTGTACGTAGTAGGACTTGAGAGAAGACTGCTTAGGGAAGCTCCTGGGAAACTCTGAGGAACAGTGGTGAGGAACCCATCTCTGAAGTTAGAGCTATGATTGAATTTCAGCTGTGCAAGTGACTTCACTTCTCTAAGCATTGAATTCCTCATTTGGGTTGTTATTTGAGTTAAATGAGATAATGCATATGAAATGCTTGATACATGCATACATTTAATACACCATGGCTATTACTGTGACTCATGGTGGTTATCCTGACCCTGTTTTTGGTAACAGAGAGAGGATTCATGCATGAGACAGGGCTTCACACTAGGGCCCTTTGAGGATCCTTCCAGTCCTAATGCTTCTGTCAGGTGCTAGTAAGTGTTTAATAAATGTTAGCAGTTGTTTTTATCTTTATCACTCTGTGGTCGAGAAGAGGTCAGGAAAAATGACAGTCATGTCTTCAAAACAACTCACATCCTCAGTGTACTTTTTGAAGCACTCTCCCATCCACACAACTGGAATGCAGATAGCTGTCCCCATTTTACAAAAGCGGCCACGGGAGATGAGATGATCTACTGGGATCTCACAGCCAGCACGTGGCAGTGGATGAGCCCAGTACTCTTTTTTTTCTGTTGCATCTTGCCTGCCTCTCAGTGAGGACCTTTATTTTCACCAGCCTGGCAGAGGAGGTAGCTCATAAGGATTTGCAGTTGTTTGTTTGTTTGAGACAGAGTCTTGCTCTTTTGCCCAGGCTGGAGTGCAGTAACATATGATCTCGGCTCACTGAAACCTCCGCCTCCCGGGTTCAAGTGATTCATGTGCCTCAGCCTCCCGAGTAGCTAAGACTACAGGTGTGCACAGATGTGCACCACCACATCCAGCTAAATGTTTGTATTTTTAGTAGAGACAGAGTTTCACTATGTTGTCCAGGCTGGTCTCAAACTCCTGACCTCAAATGATCCACCCACCTCGGCCTCCCAAAGTGTGGGGATTACAGATCTGAGCCACCGTGCCCAGCCTTAAAAGGGTTTGTTGAATGACTGGCTGACTGACTGCATGCTTCTCTTTCCCAGAGGGATAGTAGATGACTTAGAAATTCAGAGAGCCTATACGCCCATCAGCCCTGCCAATGCAGAAGGATACTTTGAAGTGTTAATTAAGGTGAGTTGACCTTCGAGGATGCTCTCAGATGCCGTGGACTTGTGCCTCCTCTGCCAAGTTGGTCATGATGGGGCAGTTCCTACCAATGTGGGGAAAGTCAGGGTTCACGGGAAAGAGGGCTGACCTGAGGGAGAAGCAGGGACAGGTGAAGGAGGACTTCTTCCATCTCCTTTCCTGGGGAAGGGACTGCCGCTAGTCCACCAACAAAGGGCTGTTCCAGCGTGTTCCTGACAGATTTTACTAAAAGATAACTCCGACTGAGAAGGGGAAGAAGGGAAACTGCTCGCCTCACCTTCCCGCCATCTGTGGAGAGTGAGCACCAAGCTGCACAGGGAAGGGGAGCCAAGGCCCCCTGCACCCACTGTGTGCTGAGCACAGGGGTCCAGAGGTGAGTCAAGCACAGTGCCTACCCTCAAGATACCTGCCCAGGACAAGTGACCAGATCAGGACAATACAGTGTGACAGATTTGTGCATAAGGAGGCCCAGCCCAGCTCAGCGACTGGGTTGCAGGGGAGGCAGGCCGGGCTTCCTTGGAGAAGCTATGTGTCTAGGGAGTGGAGAGCTAGAGGGAAAATGTGGGAAGGAAACTCAATGCTGGGAACAATATGGACAAAGGCAACTGGGGAAGTAAGTCCTTTGTCCTGGAACAGAAGGAAGGCATGCCAAGGGAGCAGGATGCAAGCTGAGAGGTTCAGGCAAGAGGTAGGACATGGAGAAGCTTATGGACAGGACTAACCTAACATCACCTCTCAGGGCAGGTGGGCAGGACCAGGGGCATTGGAATTGGACCTTGAATTCCAATTCCAATGCACTGGAATTGGAGTGCAAATTGGCAGTGGCCATAAATGGCATTCTAGGCTGAGGGGATGGTTAACCAAAGGTTGGGAGGGGTGAAATAGAACAAGTCTTCTAGGAACCGTACCCAGCCTGACAACCAGGAGGAGAAGGTGCTGGTGGAGCAGGCGGGGTGGATGGAGGAATTGGTAGAGATGAGATGAACAAAGTAGGGGTGCAAAACACCCTGGAGACCCAAGGAATAGGCAACAAATATATAAGAAGTTGTGGAGGCCCAATTATGTGGAAAGAATAATTAGGTTGAGCTACATGAAATTGCTGATATTCTAACTTTTTTGACTTAAAGAAACATCAACTTCATGTGGGCCAACCTAATACACAGCTCTAGATCATCATTTCCCAAATGGAATCATTACAATATTTAAGAATAGTGTTCACATCCTTGATCTACCTTATAAGACATGACTTATTATCTGTATTGCATTGATAAGTAAACTGAGTCCCACAGAGGCCCCAAGGCCCCACAGCTAGTAAGAAGTGCTGCTGGTAGGTGAGTCCTGCCCCCTGACACCGAGACCTCAGCACTGCCTCCAGCTCCCGCCTTCCTACCTGCCATCAGAGTGCGAGTATTTATTCCCTCACACATTAGCTTGGATAGGATCCCTTCTTCACACAACTGTTTGTCTGGGAGATTCCACAAATCCTCTCCAAATGGCCTGCTTCCCCAAGCTGCTTCTCGGGGTGTGTTTCTGTGGAAAGGATAAGCCTGGAGACAGTTCTTCAGGGCAGCTGGATCTCTCCCAGCTGCAAGGCTGATTTTCTCCTTCGTTTACTGGAAAGCCTCTCTTTAGAGAGATGCCTAATTATCTCTAAGCCACTGGCTAGGAAGAGCCAAAAATGTCTTTGCAAATTGGGAAGGCAGGCAGGGCTTATCGTTTGACCCTCCCATGTAGAAGGGAAGGAGAAGCTCACATTTCTCAGGCACTTTCTGGGTACCAGGTACTGCCCCTGTCTCTTTATTCTAATTATCGCATTTCAACCTCATAACCACCCTATAGAGTAGATAATATTATTCCCATTTTACAGATGAAGAAACTGAAGCTCAGAAAGATGACATCATTTGTCTCAAGGCCCCTTGGGTAATATCATCCAAATGGAAGGACAAAAGTTCAGTGTCAGTTCTGTTTAACAAGTATGTATTAAGCATTTACTCTGCCAGGCTCTGTGTGGGTATGTATTAGTCCATTTTCACGCTGCTGATAAAGACTTACCTGAGAATGGGCAATTTATGAAAGAAATGAGTTCAATGGACTCACAGTTCCACATGGCTGGGGAGGCCTCGCAATCATGGCCGAAGGTGAAAGGCATATCTTACATGGTGGCAGATGAGAAGAGAGCTTGTGCAGGGAAACTCTTCTTTGTAAAAACATCAGATCTCATGAGACTTATTCACTATCGCAAGAACAGCACGAGAAAGACCTGCCCCCATGATTCAGTTACCTCCCACTGGGTCCCTCCCACAACACATGGGAATTCAAGGTGAGATTTGGATGTTGACACAGCCAAACAATATCAGGGTACTAAAGACAACATGGAAGAATCCTTCCCCTCTTCTTGGGTGCTGTCTATACCATATGGCCTCTAAGGCCACAGCTGGGATCATGTCTCCCCCTAGACAGGGGCCAGAAAACAAAGCATGCATGGAGACAACCTCCAGCAAGGCAGGAGAAAAAACGCACCTTTCCTTCTAGACCCCTTCCAGTTGAGCCAGGGACTTCCCTTGCATTGTGCACGTGGTGCCCAGGGAAGTCAGGGATGATATCAGAGATGGCCATGGGTGCTTAAAAACAGGTCTGGGGACCAAAGCCATGTCTTTCTGTTAAGCCTGGCTATAATCTTACTCCAAACACCCTTCCAGTCCTGTTTCCCAGTGCTTCACCCTCACCCTCACCCTACCATGTTCCCTTGTTGTTCCCAAAACATGACCCAGATTGTCCTACCCCTGACCATACTACACCTGATGTCCAGAGTCCTCTCTGCACCCCTGCTCACATCCCCAGTGAATTCCATCTTGCCCATCTTTCAAGTTCCAATTCAAATGCTTCCCCCTCCAGGAAGCCATCCTTGATCCCATCCATGGAAGTGACTGCAGCCTTCTCAGGTTTATTCCTAGTTTATTCTTCTCATGGGTATTAGATGGTCTCTACCTTGTATATGTCTGAGACTTAGGTCCCTTCTGGATTGTAAGCTCCTTAAGGGGACGGCCTGAATCTGGATTGATTGATTCATTCATTCATTCAGGTATTAAGTTATTTCCATGGTTCAGGCACTGGCTGCCTTCATGGAGCTTAAGATCTAGGTGTCTTGCCTGCATCCTTAACATGGTACCTGGTACAGAGTGGACAGACACCCAGGCAATATAGACTCCCCTCTCCATGGAGGAATCATTCCTGTAACCTTCATTTTTCATCCAGCCAGGAGATGGTGTAGAATAATGCAGAGACTGCAGATGGGTGGCCTGAATCTAGCCCACAGATGTATTCGGTATTGGCCAGCATAGAGTTTTAAATTTTTGAATTAATTGCAGACATTTCAAAAATGGGAGATTTTAAATAAAAATATGGATTTCCTGCCTCTTTTGGAAAATCAATAGATCTGGCCAGTTAGGCCCCACAAACTATAGACTGAAACCTGCAAAGTGGCTTCCCTCCTTAGAAGGATTGCTTGCCAACTTATCATAATCCCCATCACTCCCTATTGTCTCCCTGATGCTGAGACTGTGTGTTAATTGCCATTAATCATCACCCGGTTCTTCACTCATTTATGGTACCTGAATGGTCCCTGTGGGCATTTGGGTTTGGGACCTCTATGTTGAAGGCTTTAGGTCCTATGGATTCTCATCCCAGTCTCCTGTCTACCTTCTGTGTAAGCTTCTGGGCCTCATCTGAAAATTGGGAATGACTGTACCAACTTTGTAGGATGAGGAGGACAATTAAATGAGGTAACACATGTGAAGCACTTAGCATACAGAACAGGCTCCACATTAATAGCTAATCTGGTTTGTGTTGGCAGCATGTACCTATCCCACTGATGTCTCCCTGTGTTTGCTTCCAGTGCTACCAGATGGGGCTGATGTCCCGGTATGTTGAGTCCTGGAGAGCAGGAGACACAGCTTTCTGGCGAGGACCTTTTGGAGATTTCTTCTATAAACCAAACCAGGTCAGTGCCAGCACCTTAAATCCTCAAGAGATCCCTATTGACTGTGGTTTTCATGTTTCAGCCCACAGCATCTCACTGTGCCATTCTCCCTGAGCTCACACACAATCCCAAGTGTATCCTTGGGGTTGGACATGGGAGAAGATGGAATAGACACTTATTTTTTTATTTAGAGATGGAGTTTCACTCTTGTTGCCCAGACTGGAGTGCAATGGCGTGATCTCGGCTCACCACAACCTCCACCTCCCAGGTTCAAGCGATTCTCCTGCCTCAGCCTCCCAAGTAGCTGAGATTACAGGCATGCACCACTATGCCTGGCTAATTTTGTATTTCTAGTAGGTATAGGGTTTCTCCATGTTGGTCAAGCTGGTCATGAACTCCCGACCTCAGGTGATCCACCCACCTCAGCCTCCCAAAGTGCTGGGGTTACAGTCGTGAGCCACCACTTCCAGCCGGAATAGACACTTATAAATGAAACTGCCTGCCCAGCTCCAAAGTTACCCAGGGCACCCATTGCTTAGAACATCAGACTCACGTACTTGGCGTTTAGGAGCCCTTATGCCCTCTGACCCTCAGACACCTTCCAATTTCACAGTGCAGTCACATGACTAAATATGCCCCATGGCTTCCTGCTTCCCAGCTCAGATGGCTCTTCTCATCATCATCCTGGCATTTTTAAACCCTTCCCCGACTTTCCCAGAAAGAATTCGTAATTTCTCATCAGTTGGTGCATATCTGGAAAGCATTATGACAGTATGTACCAAGAGTCTTCAGAGTCTTCAAATCCTTGGCCCCAGTAATTCCACTATGGAAGTCTGTCCTACAGAATGAATCAAAATGCTGGCTCTTTCGCATATGTTCATTGCATCTTTATTTAAAATAGCAGAAAATTGGAAACAACTGAATATCCAACAGCAGGGGAACAGTTAGGTACACTGGGCTACAGGTACTTGATAGAATAATATCCTGGATTTTAAAATTATGTTTATAAATGATGTTATATACTTATGCTGTAAGATCAAGTGACAAACCCTAGGTACAAAACTGAATATACAGGAGGTTGGGAAATTAAGTTAAAATGCACAGAGAAAATATGAAAAGAAAATGCAATGAAATGTTAGCAGTTCTGGGTAGTGAAATTATGGATGATTTTTATTTTCTTCATTATACTTTCTAAATCATTTGCAGTGAACACCTATTACTTTATAATTAGGAAAACAAAGCAAAATGAAAACAAATGGAAAAGAATGAATCATGCCTTCCTCTCCATTCTTTTTGTTTAATTTTAAAATAGCTTTTTTGGCTGGGCACAGTGGCTCACGCCTATAATCCCAGCACTTTGGGAGGCCGAGGCGGGTGGATCACCTGAGGTCAGGAGTTTGAGACCAGCCTGGCCAACATGGCAAAATCCTGTCTCTACTAAAAATACAAAACATACTAGCCAGGCATGGTGTCATGCACCTGTAATCCCAGCCATTTGGGAGGCCGAGGCATGAGAATCATTCAAACCTAGGAGGCAGAGGTTGCAATGAGCCGAGATTGTGCCACTGCACTCCAGCCTGGGTGGCAGAAAGAGATTCTGTTTTTAAAAAAAAAAAAGATCTTTTATTATTTTTTTCTTTTATAAATGCAGTACATGTTCATTACCCAAAAATCAGCAGACAAAAAAAAAAGAAAAGAAAAGAAAAAACACTCACAGGCAATCTACCCAGACACACCCATCTTATGGCTTGGTGTATATCCTTCCAAATCCTCTTCCACATGAGTATATGTACAAATGCATACTGCATGTACATGTGTAGTATATATGTATAATAATATCAAGCACGTGCAGCACCTCATGCGTGCCAGGCTCGGACCTTAGCACTTGCTATATGGTAACTTACACAGTCTTCACAGCAGCTCTTAGGTGCTACAACCCCATTTTACAGATATGTGCTATGCATATGTTAATACTCTTCCATAGTATTCTCCTAGTACTAACCATGCTTAGCCTTGCATTTTAGACCCTGCATCCCCCAGATGCTTGAGAGCAGGGAATGGAAATCGTTCGTGTTTCCTCCTTGTCTTGAGTGGATAACAGATGAACGTTGTCTTGACCACCTTTTCTGGTGGAGCCTCCCAATGCCTTGTGGGTGCTCCTTCACATGCACAGAATACTTGAAAGGTCCTGCATTTATTTCCTGCCTTCCTGCCTTTCCCCCCTCCTTTCCTCCCTTTGTTGCCCAAGCTGGAGTGCTGTCACAGCTCACTACAGCTCCACCTACTGGGCTCAAGCAATCTTTCTGCCTCAGCCTCCCAAGTAGCTGGGACTACAGGCGTGTATCACCATGCCCAGGTAAGTTTTGTATTTTTTTGTGGACACAGGATTTCACCATGTTGCCCAGGCTGGTCTCAAACTCCTTGGCTCAAGTGATCCTCCCCACTCAGCCTCCCAAAGTGCTGGGATTATAGGCATAAGCCACCGTGGATTTCTTATCTGGGGAGGCTGTAGGACCTGATGGTGAGGAAAAAGAAATGGTGTCTCACACCTTAATATGCAGTCACTGAAATTTCAGTAAGCCTTGGTTTCACCATGCAAGGACATCTGGGAAGCTCCTGCCCTCTTCCGGGCCCTGTTTTGCTGCTCTGCAGTTGTCTTCATTACAGATGGATATTACATCAGCCCTGAGGACTGACATATTAGCATCTGTCTGTGCATTCATTCAACAAACAGACACAAGTGTTCACCCAGTGCCAGGGGACTCTGGGGACCCAGAGATGGGTCAGATGAGTCCCCTGTCCTCCAGAAGCTCACAGTCTGCTGGGAGAGTCAGACACACAGACAGATGACAGCAGCACAGTGTGGCCAGTGTGGTTCAGAGGGACTCACAGGGAGCTGTGGAAACACAAAGAAAGGACCCTCCCCTTCCCCTGCTTGGGGAAGGCCTTCCAAAGGATAGCCCGAGCTAGGATGGGAGGAGGCGGAGGAGCATGGCAAGCTGAAGACCTGGAGGCTGGAGAGAGCACTGATGCAGAATAGCTGCCAGGCGTGAGTCTCAGCAGCTTAGGGAGAGGGAGGGATCTAATTGGATCTGCACCAGGCAGTTTTCTTTTTTGTTTGTTTTGTTTTGTTTTGTTTGAGACAGGGTTTCACTCTTGCCTAGCTGGAGTGCAGTGGCATGATGGTGGTTCACTACAGCCCCAACCTCCTGGGCTCAAGCGATCCTCCTGTCTCAGTCTTGAGTAGCTGAGATTATAGGCATGAGCCACCACATGCAGCCAATCAAGCACTTTTCTTCATCTCATTTAATCCTTGTAACAGTTCTGAGATAGGTGCTGCTATGGGGAAGTGCTTTTCTTTTTTTACCAGTGGGGACACTGAGGCTCATATTGGTGAAAGAGCTTGCCCAGATCACATGGTTGGGGATTTATACCCAGAGGCCTAATCTCTAGAATGAAGGAGGTGAATACCCCTGCATCACTGAGGTACTAAACTTTAAGGCACTGACCTTAAAGAGGGTCACCCCTCTTTTTTTTTTTTTTTTTTTTGAGATGGAGTCTCACACTGTCGCCCAGGCTGGAGTGCAGTGGCGCGATCTCCACTTACTGTAAGCTCCGCCTCCCAGGTTCACGTCATTCTCCTGCCTCAGCCTCCTGAGTAGCTTGAGACTATAGGTGCCTGCCACCACGCCCGGCTAATTTTTTGTATTTTTGGTAGAGACGGAGTGTTAACCAGGATGGTCTCTATCTCCTGACTTCGTGAACTACCCACCTCGGCCTCCCAAAGTGCTGGGATTACAGAGGGTCACCCCTCTTTAAGAGGCCTAGAGCCCGGAAATAAATTCAGTGAGGAGGAGTTGATGGAACTGGGACCTCTTGGGGTGGAAACTCACCCTTTTGTTTGTTTGTTTGTTTGTTTGTTTTGAGATGGAGTCTTGCTCTGTTGCCCAGGCTGGAGTGCAGTGGCATGATCTTGGCTCACTGCAACCTCTGCCTTCCAGGTTGAGCAATTCTCCTGCCTTAGCCTCCCAAGTAGCTGGGACTACAGGCGTGCACCACCACACTTGGCTAATTTTTGCATTTTTAGTAGAGATGGAGTTTTTTGCCATGTTGGTCTCGAACTTCTGACCTTAAGTGATCCACCCGCCTTGGCCTCCCAAAGTACTAGGATTGTAGGTGTGAGCCACCGCTGCCGGCCGGGAACTCACCTTTTTCAAGTGACTCTTTTGTGCCAGTGCTGTGCTACATGCTTATGCATATTATTTCATTTAGCCTAGAGATAAGCAAGCTCAGAGGTCCAAGGTGGGCCCTTGAGATCTCTGCAGAGGTACCCTGGGGCAGAGGAAGCAGCCCAGAGAGCAGGGCTGGAATGGCGTTGGGAGTGGGCAAGGCTTTGATGGGAGTAGGTTTCAACTCAATGTAAGTAAAGACCTCCCTGGCAAAGGATTTGGCCTATAGTAGGGCAAACTGCCTTGGGAAGTAGTGAGCTCCCTGTCAGCAGAAGTGTGTAAGCAGAGTACTTGTGGGGATGCTTTAGTAGGCAACCAGGCCACTTACAGGATGGGCTATACTGTTATGTTCCCTTTCAGCCCCCATATCTCATCGTCTCCATTACCCAAACCTCACATGCCTTTCACAAACAAGGACGACTTTCTGGAGGAGGTAGAGAGGGGACATAGGTGGTTGGACACCAAGGAAGGGCACTGCCATCCAGTTGAAGGAAGCTCAAGGAAAAGCCCCATAGTAGAGGGGATAGGGTGAGATTCTCCCAACCCACCTGTCATACATACCCCTTCTATTCCCCAGTATGGTGAGCTCCTCATGCTGGCTGCGGGCACGGGCCTGGCCCCCATGGTGCCCATCCTGCAGAGCATCACAGACAATGAGGATGACGAGACTTTTGTCACTCTAGTCGGTTGCTTCAAGACCTTTGAGAGCATCTACCTGAAAACCTTCCTCCAAGAGCAGGCCTGTTTCTGGAACGTCCGTACATTCTTTGTACTCAGCCAGGTGAGCCCAGGGTGGTGACTTCCTTTTTTGATTGAGACTCTGCAGTCCCTTTGCACCTGTCCTGAGTACCAGCTCTAGCCTCTTTTGGCAATGGACGCTGTAGTCATAATCCCTGCCACTGGTGGAGCACCCACCTGTAAGGAAGGAAGGTGTTCTCATGTTCATTATACAGATGAGGAGATGCACGTTCTAGGGGTGAAGCTGCCCACCAGCTCATGCTGCTGGACAGGGCTGAGGCCAGGATCTGAGCCCAGGGCTGTCTGGTTGCCGAGCTCTGGCTCTCACCCCATGCGTTGCTGCCTCCCATCGCCCTCTGGCATCATCAGTTACATGGGCAGGGGCCTGGCTGTAGAGGACATGGCAGGCTGCAGACCTCCCTCCGACTGAGTGATGTTCCTTGAGGCAGAGACCACATGTCTACCTCAGCCTCTTTCTTCAGTGCTTAGCATAATGCCAGGCCCAGAACAGGGACTCCATTAGTGACTGCTGGAGTAACTGATCTGAGTTCCCTGTGCTTACTAGTATCCTTCCACCTCAGCCTGTCCCTCCATAGGAGGACCCCACCGTAGCTGGCAGCGACTCTCCCTGCTGAACCCTCCTCCCTCTGACTCCACATCCCCTCTGCTCACTCAGGTAACCCTTCTGGGGCCACCCCCATAGGTTAGAGCACGGGGGTTTATCTGCCCCTCATCTCAAGCCAGACCCTCAGCTACTTTTGCTGGCCTGCCTTTCCCTGGTTGGTAGCTTCACTTTTCCCTCCTGTCCCCCGTGGGTTGGATTCCTGCTGGGCCCCCTGTGTTCCCTGGTGCTCAGGGTCAGCCTTCTTGCCTGGTGCTGTGGAGCACCCTTCTCATCTGGTCCCACTATGAGGCAGCTTTATGTGGTCCCTAAACACTTATTTGATCCTCAACATTGTGGCTGGGTGTGGAGGGTGAGGAAATTGGATTTCCCATCCCAATATAAGGGTCCCTGGGCTCCCCAGGGTCTGGGTTCTGCAGGCCTGTCCATGGGGCAGAATGCTCAGTGGCATGACATTGAGAGCATGGTGAACATTTATAGCAGCAGAAAGTGCCTAAGGAAGGAGAATGGAGCCAAAGGCTAGCGTGCAGCCCAAGGGGTGGGTGCAAGGGATGGGCCACTGTTGCCCAGCAGCACAGACAGCCTGCCTGAGAGCCTGGACAAGGACACTGGGAGGAGGGCAGGAAGGCAGCACCTGGCAGAGGGTCCACAAGCTGCTGGCCAGCTTTGCTTTCCCTCCTCTATCACCTGAGCATGTGGCAGGTGTCAGAGACACAATAGTGAAGGTGACCAACTCCCAGCCCTCTGGCTGCTCACCTATCTGTGGGTGACAGCCACAGAGGCGGCCGAAAAGGTCTCCCCTTCATTCAGCACATTCTCTGTAGCCAGCACCATTCTAAGCACTTTATTTACTCATTTAATCTCCACTACAATCTTATGAGGCTTATACTCCCATCTTGCTCCTTGTACAGATGTGAAACCACAGAATGGTTAAGAACCTTGCCCAGGGTAACATAGCTGGTTAGTGGAGAGTGGAGTATGAACCCAGGAGGTCCTGCTCAAAGGCTGTGGTCTTAGTGCTCCTCGGAATAAGGCAGCACAGCACAAGGTGCTGTGAAGATGTTCAGGATGCCAGCGGTGGGCAGAGAGGCCAGGCAGGGTCAGGGAGGGCTTTACCAAGCAGGTGGCTTTTCAATTAAAGTTCACCAGCAATAGAAGATTTTTAGCCCCCAGCTGGGCCAGGGTGGTGCCAGTGGCCTGGAGTTGGGCAAGCGAGTGGGCTGGCCATTAGTGGCAGGTGAAAGGAGTGACTTGTGGCTCCTGCCTGTCCACACTCCCTTGACTCAGTGTGCGCCCTCACCTGCCTGGGCCACAGCTGCAGTATCCTCAAGAGTCTCCCCGTACCAGCCGCTCCCTGCTGATTTGTCCTGCGTCCTGCAGTCCTAAGGGCAGATCTGACCACACCACCACCCTGTTTCCAGCGCTTCCCTGGCTCCCTACTGCTCACAGGATAAGGTCCACACCTGAGAACTGCCTCCCTCTGCGGCCTCATCTCCCAGCCCGCCCTCCCTGTAAGCTGTGGCCTGATGTCACTGGTCTGCCCATGGTTGCAAGTGTGCTGTGCTTTTCTGGCTTCTGGGCCTTTGCTCACGCCATTCTGCCTGCCAGGAGTGCTCCCCCTTCCTCACCTCCCACCTGTGTACCCCTCACATCCCTGTTGAGGTAGAAGTCCATCCTGGAAGCTTTCCTAGAGCCCCCAGGCTGGTCTTGGTGGTTCTGCTGCCACCACCCCGGCTCTCCTTCACAGCACCCACCTGCTGCACCGTCACTGTTTGTGGGGTCCCCTGCCCATCTCACCAGCAGCCAGGCCCAGGGCATCTCAGGGTGCATGGTGGGATAGGCTGAGCTGAACCTAAGTAGTCTGAGGGAAATGAGCAGTGGAAAAGGGGAGGTGAGGCCAGTGGGCCCCAAGGCCCCATCTGGTGGGTCAGACTGTAGCGGGGGCATGGGAAATGCCAGATCATCAGAGAGGATTCCCTCATCAGCACAGACTCTGTGAGGTGGGACTCCAGGGCACCCTGTTTGTTTTGTTTTGAGACAGGGTCTCACTCTGTTGCCCATGCTGGAGTACAGTAGTGCAATCATAACCCACTGAAGTCTCAACCTCCCTGGGCTTAAATGATCCTCCTACCTCAGCCTCCCAAGCAACTGGGACTACAGGCGCATAGCACTTCCCCTAGCTAATTTTCGTATTTTTTTGTAGACCAGCTTTTGTCACATTGCCCAGGCTGGTCTTGAACTCCTGGACTCAAGCGATCCTGCCACCTCAGCCTCCCAAAGTGCTGGGATTACAGGCTTGAGCCACTGTACCTGCCTCCAGGGCCCTTTGAGTGGGCCTCAGAATAGAGGCCTCTCCTCACAGGGCCTCTGCCAGGGCTTGCACCAGCACCACGGCTCTCTGGACAGTGACTTTCCATAGCGGATACTCTCCTCACAATCACAATCCTGAGAGGTCAGTCACTCAGCCAGGAAAGTGGCAGTGGAGCTCCACTCGCCACCAATCCTGTCTTTGTGCCTAGCCCCAGGAACTAGCAGCTTGCCCTCATAGGATCTGCAGAGTGATGGCTCTATTCTGGATTTTGTTTTTTGTGGGCTGGTAAGATGGTTTTTGCATTTAAATTCTTCAGACTATATATAGTTGTCCCTTGGTATTCATGGGGGATTGACTCCGGGACCCTCTGCAGATACCAAAATCTGAGGATGCTCAAGTCCTTGATATAAAATGGTGTGGTATTTGCATATAACCTACACACATCCTCCCATGTGCCTTAAATCATCTCTAAATTATAATACCTAATACAATGTAAATATTGAGTAAATAGCTCTTACTGTATTTCTTTTTGTGTTTCTATTGCTATATTGTTTTTTTAAATGTTTTTTAAAAAATATTTTCAATCCACAGTTGGTTGAATCCATAAGTGTGGAACCCATGGATACAGAGGGCTAACTGTATACTTAATGATTTGTATACTTTTCTATACATATGTTGTACTCCAATAAAATGTTCATTTAACAAAATAGAAGAAATTCCTTCAAGTCACCTGGGAGTGGAACTTTCATTTTGTGACCCTGAGGAGGAAAGCTTCAGCTAAGGCTAGAAAGGCAGAGAGTAGGGTCCTGGGTGCCTGGGGTCACCGTCCAGCCTTGGAATGCGAGCTTAGCCTTTCTCGATGAAGGCATTGTGACCTGGGATCTGTGTTGTATGCAGCCAGGAACCTTGTCTCTTTTGAGCAGCTGCCATATCCCCAGTGGCTAGCTCGGTGCCTGGCACAGAGTAAGCACTTGGTAAATATCTGCTAAATGAACATGTTCATTGAAACCTTAAAAGAAATGAGCAAAAGTTATGCTCCAAGGGTGATGATGATAGCTAACCTTGGAAAGATTCTGGGAAACCCACAGTCAGGGGAGAAAACATTCCTCCCACAGTGACAGGTGTGGCTGCTGGAAGGCAGCGAGAAATGGTGGGACTTGAGTTCTGGTCCTGCTGCTGCCCCCACCTCATCGTGTGCCACGGGGAAGTCCCTCTTCCCTGTGCCTCTCCTGTCATGGGAAGGTGATAGTTCCCACAGGCTTGTTTTGGGGATGAGGAGGAAGTGCCTGGCCCACGGTGGGGCTGGATATAGGCTGGCTTCCTACAGCCTCAGTTTCTTTATTTTGCAGAGAAGAGCTGGCTCTGTGAACACTAAGGACCCCCCGCTCCCTTGTAGTAACCCATGCCTTTCTTGTCTTCCCAGGAGAGCTCCTCAGAGCAGCTTCCTTGGAGTTACCAAGAGAAGACCCGCTTTGGCCGCCTGGGCCAGGACCTAATTAAAGAGCTGGTCAGCTGCTGTCGGAGAAAGCCATTCGCACTTGTCTGTGGCTCAGCTGAGTTCAACAAGGACATAGCCAGGTGCTTACTGTGCGCAGGCCTCACTGAGGACTCCTATTTCCTCTTCTAGCCCTGGCCTCCCTTCCAAAGCCTAGGCCATGGGCCTGCTACTGGGACCCAGGAAGGTGCACAGACTGGAATCAGAAGACATGGAGTCCAGGCCTGGTCCTGCTGCTCATTTGCCAGGTGACCTTGGGCAAGTGTCTTTACTGCTCAGAACCTCTACTTCTCATCTGCCCCATGAGGTTAATCACTCCTCTGGCCTCCTACTATGTGGAAGGAGGACAGGCTGTAGGGACCCTGAGGAAGCGAGCAACCAGCCTGGGAGTCAGGGAAGACTCCTCAGAGGAAGCCAAGTCCAGGCTGAGCCCCAGGAGGAGTAGGAATTGGGCAGGGGAAGATTCAGGAGGAGCTTCCCTGGCCTCTCCGATTAGAGGATCTAATGGGGGCTCCAGCTGTGGCCTCAGCACCATCTCAGATTAGGGCTTCCTGAGTGTGTAGGGAAGGACCCAGGAGAGGCTGAAAGCTCTTTGGAGGAGAATTCTACCTTTCCTCCTGTGCCATGAGCCTGACACATGAAGGTCTTGGGTTCTATGACTTCACCATGTCCTGAGAGCAAGGTGGGGCCCTGGACTGTCTTTGTATTGGCCCCAAGCCTTTCCTGCTGTGAACAGCTTCATTCTCAGTCCCCTTTCCTGGCTCAAGAATTGAGCCTAGCAAAAGAAGAGGCATGGGAAGGAAATGCCCCTCCCTCCTTCTGCAGGCAGCCACTCAGCCTGTGCCTTCAGCTCGGTGCCCTGGTGACAGTTGCTATGGAGATCTAAAGATAGAGCAGGAGTCAGGAGACCTGGGTCCCTCTCCCAGCTTGTCCCACTCAGCGGCTGCCGATCCCGGTCCACCCACCCCAGGAACCCGGCACCCCCATCCCAGGAACCCAGTGCCCCTGGGCAGTGCACTGCAGTTAATGAATTCTGCTTTCCACAGCCTGGGCTCCAGCATGCTGCACCAGCTTGGGCTAACTACAGGCAGTCCCAGAATTGGAATACTAAGCCATGGAATCTTGGAGTTAGATGTTTATAGTCATAGAAGTGTACTCCTCACCATATCAAAGCTGAAAGTTCAGGACTCTAAGAAACATACAGTGTGACAGACTTATCGTATACACGGGAAACTGAAGCCCAATGAGACTAAATGACTTGCCCAGGGTAAAACAATCCATGGCCGAGCCAGCACTAGAAGCCTCCTAGCTTCAACCTCATGTGCCAGTTCGGCACCAGTGGTTTTCAAACTGCGCTCCACAGGAAACAAGCGTTCTTTGCATAGCAGCAGTGAAAGGACAGCTCCGATGGATCCCCAGACCCCCCTTCAACCAGAGCAGTTCCGTTTTCATCCCATTTGTATATTGGGGTTTCGAAGTATTTTTATTTGTAGAAAAGGATTTTCCTATCCTGCTCAGAAAAATGGCAACAAATCTCTCTGCTGTGTCACATTTAATAAATAATTGTGACATACAGCTGGGGGATGGTGCCGGAGGTTTCAAACTGCTTCACAGGCAGAGTTCCAGGGTCAGAGAGCATGGAGTGCTGTGTATGACCTTCTCCCAGAAGCGTGGGCACAGGAGCGTGTTAAAGGCCTGAAAAGACCAGTGGCAAAGAAACTCCTTTCATTTTGTCTAACCCAGAGTTTCTCAAGCTTATTTAACTATAGAACACTTTTCTATGGGTTTCATAGCCTCTTTCTAGCACAGCATAATGAGTGGGAAAGGCCCTGACTGAGAGTCAAAGATTCTGAGCAGGAACCGTGATCTCTTCCTGCCTAGCCTGTGACTTGAGCAAGACACTTTTCCTCTCCCCAGACCTCTGAGGTCTGCGATTTTCCCTCCACCCTTTCCTCTCCCTCAGTTTGCACGTCCTATTGACTCAGCTGCAAATAGCGGGGGCCTGTCAGGAGCCTGACTCTGTTCAGACACCAGGGAAACAACAGCACACCAGGCAGATGCAGTTACGTCCAGTGCGGAACTTACAGCCTAGCAAGGAAGGCAGAAATTCAACCTGTAATTCTAAAAGGGATAGATGTCATGGAAACGGAAGTGTGGAGTGCTGGGAGAGTGGATGGCAGGGGCTTTAGCCCAGTCTAGGGAAAGGCCAGGGGCACACCACTGCCACCAGGGATAGAGGCTTCAAAAGCTTCCAAGTCACTCATATTAAGAGTGTTGCCAGGCATGGTGGCTCACACCTGTAATCACAGCACTTTGGGAGGCTGTGGCAGGCGGATTGTCTGAGCCCAGAAGTTCGAGGCCACCCTGGCCAACATGACAAAACCCTGTCTCTACAAAAAAAAAAAAAAAAAAAAAAAGATTAGCCCCGTGTGGTGGTATGCGCCTATAGTCCCAGCTACTTTGGAGGCTGAGGTGGGAGTATTGCTTGAGCCAAGGAGGTCAAGGCTGCAATGACTGTGATTGAGCCACTGCACTCCAGTCTGTGTGACAAAGCAAGACCCTGTGTCAAAATAATAATAATAATAAAATCAAAAAGAGTGTTAAGGGGGTCTCCACTTAAGGAGTAGAGAGTTCGAGGCAGTTCTCTCATCTCTGTCCTTGTCTCGTTTTAGATGTATGATGTTTAGATATTAGACAAGGCCGCCCAGTGGTAACCAACCTAGAATGTGTTGGCCTCCTCTTCCCCTCACTCCGTGTAGGTTCTGTACAGCCTGGCTGCTGGTGGGATCTCTCATCATGGGACATTGGTGAGGACCCAGCCATGCCCTTGGTGCCAAGAAGCCTAAAGGGCTCCTGTCACCTGGAAACCTGAGAGTGCGGGGCCGGGTGCTGTGCCCCACAGGGTGCTGAGCAAGCCCAAGAAGAAGAGTGTAGGGTGTGGTGTGTGAATTCAGACCTCTCGGAGCTGGGGGCGATTCCCGTCAGCTGCTGTTCCTTTGATGATGCCCACTGCGTGTTGTGGGAGGCGTGACCACCATGTGATGTTGCAGTGAGAGAAAGGAGGCTTAGGAGCTAAACATGATACACGGGCATCAAGAGGTCAACCAGGTGTCCGCAATCTATGAGCCAGACACAGCTCTCTTTGTGCATGCATCCCAAGCTTCAGGAAGGCAACAGCTACTAGAGGGCCTGGGGACAGATTCTTGTTAGCAGAAGTGGTGGTGACTTTAGCTCCACCCTCACCATGTTTACCGGCGTCGCTTCTGCGTTCCCCTCATGGGGCTCCCAGCTCCCAGTCTGCATGCCACCTCCATGCCGAGACCAGACCAGTTTTCCCTACACACAAATCCGGGCCTGTCACTCCTCTGCTTGAAATCCTTCCCTATCTCCCTGTGGCCTTGGGGTACGGCCTCTCTGCTCTGCCACCTTTCCAGACTTTTTCTATGCCGCCGCCTGCTCACACACACCTCTCAGGCTCCAAACATGTTCTCTTGCGTCAGCCCATCCCTTACACTAGCTGCTTCCTCTGCCTCGCCAGCCTCCCACCTTCCCATCTCCCACTCACCTTTTTTGCCTCCTCATCTTCTGAGGTCTCAGCTCAGTGCCACTTCCTCTGGGGAGCCTCGCCTGTGTCTTCCACTCCAGCTTGGTCAGTGAGCAGAGGGGCTTGTGTGCTTTTCTGTCGCTGCACCCATCAGTCTCATCTGCATGTGGGCATGAGGGCCGGCCCATTGCACCCCTGACAGGAGAGGATGCTCAGCACTTCCTGAATGGCGAATACCTGAGCGATAAACAACTCATGTTCAGGAAGTGCTTTCCGGGTGGCAAAATGTGTTTCCTCTACTTTGAAGCACAGAATCTTCATCAATATGCATGCTATTTTATTACCCCAATTTACCGATGAGGAAACTAAGCTTCTGAGACTTCAAGCAATTTTCCAAGGTCATGTAGGGGTACACAAGTTCCAGCATGTTGTGATTGTTGTAAAGGTTACGTGTGACACATTAGTGCACCCAGAAATGTGTATAAAGATTGTTATTGATGGCCAGGCACGGTGGCTTACGCCTGTAATCCCAACACTTTGGGAGGCCAAGGTGGGCAGATCACCTGAGGTCAGGAGTTTGAAACCAGCCTGGCCAACATGGTGAAACCCCATCTCTACTACAAATACAAAAATTAGCTGGGTGTGGTGGCGCACACCTGTAATCCCAGCTACTCAGGAGGTGAGGCAGGAGAATCACTTAAACCCAGGAGGCGAGGTTGAAGTGAGCCCAGATCGCACCAGTGCACTCCAGCCTGGGCGACAGAGTGAAACTCAGTCTCAAAAAAAAAAAAAAGAAAAGGTTTTTATTGCTGCATTCTCTAAAATAGCAAAGAATAAAAAAACTGCCTGTAGATACAGCAATTAAAGTGAACTCCATCCACATGTACCAATATAGACGAAGTCCTAAAAATATAATAACTGAGTGAAATGTACATTATGAAAGGATAGCTACAGGGAGATACCTGTACTTGGAAACTGTAAAAACCCAAAATAATGCTAAATGCTCATGAAGAGACAGAGACACACCAGCTTCAAGGATACTGGTGGCCTGTGGTGATAGGTAGAAGGGAATGAGATGGGGTGATGGGGCTTTTAGCCATATCTGTATTTGTATTTTACTGTAAAAATACTTGACATAAACATGACAAAATATGAACATCTGGTAAATCTGGGCAATGAGTTCCCCAGTGTCTGCTGTATTATTTTCTGCCTTTTTCTGTTTTTCAAATAGTTCCATAATTAAAGATTTTTTAAAAAGTCAAATGTGCTTGTTCAATGCTCTCTAGAAACTAGGGGCTTAGAAACATTCACTTTCTCCTACCTCGGAATAGACTATGCCCCTTTATCCCCCCAGACATTTTATCCATTCACTGAAGATCATTTCTGAGCACCAACTGTGTTCCAGGCCCTGTTCTAGGTGCGGGAGACACAGCAGTAAATCGTATAAATCATTCCTGGTCTTCATAGCTGATGGGCTGTTCCCTCTACTTTTCCCTCTTTCTCATAAACTCAAACCAGAATGACTTGCCAAGCACCACACTGTTGGCCTATTTTTTTTTCTTTCTTTTTTTTTTTTTTTTTTTGTTTTGTTTTCCTTTGTCAATGAGGCAGACCTAAGTTTGAGTCTCTTACTGATCCTGTGTCCCATGGCAAGTAACTTGGCCTCTGTGAACCTCAGTTCATCTATAAAATGGAAATGATAGCGCTGTCTCCTTGGGTTGTGTGAGGATGAGGGAAACATGTAAACCCCAAACACAGCACCTGGCACAGAGTGGGTGTGAGACCCCGTTCCCACTTCTTTCTCCCTCCCCAGCAGTGCCTGACTCGTGGTTGACCTCTGAGGACAGCATTTATTTCCAGACTTTCAGTATCAAGAACTCTCCTTTTTATTATTTTTCCCATGCTTTGGAAGATTTTGATCCCAAATTGCATGTTTTAAGTCATTATTAATGACATTTTTTATTAATGAAAGACACAGATAGCTGCCCCTCAGAGTTTCTGATATGTACATCCAGCTGGGAGCTGCAGAGGTTGCCATAATTCCAGCCAGAGGCAAAGGAGCTCAGCAGCGTGTGTGGCCCGGGGGCCCAAGGAGGGGAAACATAGGTGCATCTTACTCTGTTTCTTTTTTTTAATGGACCATAAGTCGTGGAAGCTGCTGAGGTTACCCAGGTAGTTGCTGCTTTCACAGGGGGTCACTGACTGATGGGCTGGAGGGTGAGGTTTGGGTGCCAGGGTCTAATGTGGGGCCCCACGTGGGCCTCATCCCACAGGGCTCACTCCAAACAGATGTCACACACCAGTGCCACGCAGAAGAGTGTGGGTTCACATAGAGGGAGGTGGGAAAGCTGTCTGCATGCAGGTCCCACAGGCTCTGGCTGGAGACCACCACGTTGTCCTGCCCCTGGCTCCCGATGCTAACAGAGCAGACTAGCTTGTAATGGGGCGGGGTGACACTCTTGACCTGGTCCCAGCACTCAGAATCATGGCCAGGTGGGCACACTGGGCTGGCTGGTGGGCCTCACCAGCCAGCTTAGAAGGCAGGTGAGCTGTATCAGCTCCTCTGCCCAGGTGCAGGGGAACTTCACCTCCAGCCTGGCTGACCCCAAGGGAACCTGGAAGGAGAGGGAGGTGGTGGTGGTGGTGGTGGTGGTGGTGGTGGTGGAAGGGTGTATTTGCAACAAGCAGAGCATTTGGCACATTAGGCTTGAAGCCTAATGTGTTGAACACAGAACTCTGAGTTGGAACATATGATTTCGAACAATGGGAGGGAAAATGGGATGCAGGCCCTGGAACACAAGAAAACAGCTTTATAAACTGTAGAGTGTGTGTATATGACAGAGATTAACCTAGCTTCCAAGTGGCTGAGGCTACAGGCTGAGGCCCGTGACCCTCAGTCCCCTCCCTCTTGCGCATCCCCAGGCCACAGGCCCATACCTGCTCCTGGAAGATGCTGATGAGCCACTGGTGACTCAGCTAGAGCTGCAACCGTGTTCTCAAAGCTGTCTGTTTCTATAAAAATGAACATGAGTATCCAGGTAGACAGCATTTGCTGAATGTCTACTGGGCACCAGGCTGTAAAATGTTACTGTTTTAGGCTGGGTTTGCCCCAAAGCTGATGCTGAGCAAGGATGTGGGTGAAAGAAGTTTATGTGGAGGTGCTTCAGGGAAGCATGGTGAGGAAGTCATGGGGAAAGACAATGAAGGGCATGTGGATGGGCAGGCTACCACTGGTGGCACCCGGAGCTCATCCTGCTGGGATCCTGCCAAGAGACTGTGTGGAACATGCCTCAGTGATCCCACCGAGGGATGGAGAAGCTGGGGCATTTATGCACCAACAACCAGACTCCCTTATTGGCTGAGAGCATGAACTCCTGGCATTTCAGCTTCCTGTGGGTGGGTCAAGTGCTTGGCAGCCAGAGAAGCCCCCAGGCAGAGACACACACGAAGCCATCAGTGCACATAGAAAGTTCCCGCAGTTACCTCCAGTTGGGCAGGGGGATATGGATAGCACATCAGCAGTGTCTACTATGTCACTTTGCTTAATTCTCACAATCTTTAGAGATTAGCAGTTTCTTTATTTTATAGGCAAAGGAATTGATTAGCAAGAGGTAAAGGAGCTAGTGGAGAAAGTGGTGTTCTTGTACGAGGGCAGGGCTCGATACTGTGTCCCCTCCCCACCCCATGACCCCATCTAGTGTGATGTCTGGCTGGCCACAGTGTGGAGGCAGTGTCTGTTGACGGAAGGGGTGAGCTGGTGGAAGCCGTGTGACCGTGAGTTGGTGACCACTCTTCTATCAGATGAAGGTGCTGATTCTTTCCTCCCAGGGCTGCTTTGCGGAGTAGAGGAGATTGTGTGAACCAAGTGTTCAGCTCAGTGCCTGGCCCACAGGGGAGTGTCCGTGAATGTTAATTCCCTTCCCCTGCCTCCCTCTAAGGGGACGATATGGTTTGGCTGTGTCCTCATTCAAGTCTCAACTTGAATTGTATCTCCCAGAATTCCCATGTGTTGTGGGAGGAACCCAGCGGGAGGTAATTGAATCATGGGGGCCAGTCTTTCCTGTGCTATTCTCATGGTAGAGAATAACTCTCACAAGATCTGATGGTGTTATCAGGGTTTTCCACTGTTGCGTCTTCCTCATTTTCTCTTGCCACCACTATGTAAGAAGTACCTTTCGCCTCCCGCCATGATTCTGAGGCCTCCCCAGCCATGTGGAACTGTAAGTCCAATTAAACGTTTTCCTCCCAGTCTCGGGTATGTCTTTATCAGCAGCATGAAAATGGACTAATGCAGTAGTTTGGTACCAGTAGAGTGGGACATTGCTGAAAAGATACACGAAAATATGGAAGTGACTTTGGAACTGGGTAACAGGCAGAGGTTGGAACAGTTTGGAGGCCTCAGAAGAAGACAGGAAAATGTGGGAAAGTTTGGAACTTCCTAGAGATTTGTTGAATGGCTTTGCCCAAAATGCTGATAGCGGTATGAACAATAAGGTCCAGGCTGAGGTGGTCTCAGCTGGAGATGAGGAACTTGTTGGGAACTGAAGCAAAGGTGACTCTTGTTATGTTTTAGCAAAGAGACTGGTGGCATTTTGCCCCTGCCCTAGAGATTTGTGGAACTTTGAACTTGAGAGATGATTTAGGGTATCTGGCGGAAGAAATTTCTAAGCAGAAAAGCTTTCAAGAGGTGACTTGGGTACTGTTAAAAGCATCCCATTTTAAAAGGGAAACAGAGCATAAAAGTTTGGAAAATTTGCATCCTGATGATGCAGTAGAAAAAAAAATTTTTTTTTTTTTTTGGAAACGGAGTCTTGCTTGTTGCCCAGGCTGGAGTGCAGTGGCGCAATCTAGGCTCACTGCAACCTCCACCTCTTGGGTTCAAGCGATTCTCCTGCCTCATAATTTTTTGTATTTTTAGTAGAGATGGGGTTTCACCGTGTTAACCAGGATGGTCTCGATCTCCTGACGTCATGATCTACCTTCCTCGGCCTCCCAAAGTGCTGGGATTATAGGCATGAGCCACCACTTCCAGCCAAAAAACCATTTTTTTTAGGAGAAATTCAAGCCACAGAAATTTGCATAAGTAGCAACGAGCCTAATGTTAATCCCCAAGACCTTGGGGAAAATGTCTCCAGGCCACGTCAGAGAACTTCACGGCAGCCTCTCCCATCACAGGCCCAGAAGCCCAGGAGGAAAAAGTGGTTTCATGGGCTGGGCCCAGGGTCCTCGGGCTGTGTGCAATCTAGGGACATGGTGCCCTACCCAACTGGTACAGCCGCGGCTGAAAGGGGCCAACGGACATCTTGGGCTGTGGTTTCAGAGAGTGGAAGCCCCAAGCCTTGGCAGCTTCCATGTGGTGTTGAGCTTATGGGTGCACAGAAGTCAAGAATTGAGGTTTGGGAACCTCTGCCTAGATTTCAGAAGATGTATGGAAACGCCTGGATGCACAAGCAAAAGTTTGCTGCAGGGGCAGGACCCTCATGGAGAACCTCTGCTAGGGCAGCGTGGAAGGGAAATGTGGGGTCTAGGGCACTGCCTAGTGGAGCTGTGAGAAGAGAAGAGCTGCCGTCCTTCAGACCCAGCATGGTAGATCCACCGACAGCTTGCACCATGCACCTGGACAAGCCGCAGACACTCAAAGCCAGCTCTTGAAAGCGGCTGAGAGGGAGGCTGTACCCTGCAAAGCCACAAGGGCGGAGCTGCCCAAGACCATGGGACCCACCTCTTACATCAGTGTGACCTGGATGTGAGGCCTAGAGACAAAGGAGATCATTTTGGAGCTTTAAAATGTGTCTGCCCTGCTGGATTTCAGACTTACATGGCCCTGAAACCCCCCTTTTTTTGGCATTTTCTCCCATTTGGAATGGCTGTATTTACCCAATGCCTGTACCCCCGTTGTATCTAGGAAGTAACTAGCTTGCTTTTGATTTTACAGGCTCATAGGCAGGAGGGACTTGCCTTGTCTTAGATGAGACTTCGGACTGTGGACTTTTCGGTTAATGCTGAAATGAGGGACTATTGGGAAGGCATGATTGGTTTTGAAATGTGAGGACATGAGATTTGGAGGGGCCGTGGCAGAATGATATGGTTTGGCTGTGTCTCCATTTCAATCTCAACTTGAAGTATATCTCCCAGAATTCCCATGTGTTGTGGGAGGGACCCAGGGGGAGGTAATTGAATCATGGGGCCAGTCTTTCGAACCCTGCTGTTCTTGTGATAGTGCATAAGTCTCACAAGATCTGATGGGTTTATTAGGAGTTTTC